TGCTGAACCTGCACCTGTGTGCTAGGGTGGCCACCCCTGGTCTGCAGGGGGCCGCGGTGATGGGGAGCTTTGCTCTGGAGTTGGGACCCAGGCTTCTGGTTCCTGACTCAGCCCCGAGTGATCAGGTAGCCGTGGACATTTCACCATTCAGGGCCTGGTTGCCCCCATCCGTAGAACGCCTAAGTGGTGAGTGTTAAAGTTCCATTTAATTACCTGTAGTACTTTTTCTCCAGAAGCGCAGACTGTTATTCTTCTCGGAGAAGAGGAAATAGCCCAGGTTCACAGCAGCTTTCTTCGGTTATTAAATATTGAAGAGTACAAATGTTCCCGAGAGAAGCTGGCGGAGGATGAAGAATGGGAAATTGAAATGCGTCCCGGCTCGGGACTGGGGTCAGGATCCTAAATTTGTTAAAGAAGCACATAAATAAATGAAAAGCATCATCCATTTTCATTTAGCCCGAAATGCATTACTGCTTTTTGAGCACAAACACACGCTCCTCCATAGTTTCTGAGCAGGAGTGTGCATTTATCGATCACCCTCTGGGTGCAGGCTCTGGGAAGGGAGATTCTCCAGCATTGTAAGCTGCACACACAGGCTCTTCCCGAATGTGACTTGGCACGGAACATGGAGCTTCGAGGGAAAGTGCTTATGGGGTGTCAGGGGTCCGGGGCCTCCTGGGTGCTGGGCTAAGCCCGAGGGTCCCGGACCCGTGTGCAGGTTCTGTGTTGCCGAGCAGTTCCTTCCCCACTTGACGTGAGACCTGTGGACTCCTCTCTGGATGGACGTGCTGGAGGGTGGCCCCCTCGGCCACACCCTGGGGGCTTGAGCCTTCGGGACAGGGATCCATCATCTCTGAGCCACCGACACAGGTGCCAGACACACTTTGGTGGTTCCTGGGGAGGGTGCCTCTGGGAAAGGGGCCCTTTGCTCCTGAGCCCCTCTGCTCCCGGGAGCTCCCCTTCCTGCCCCAACACGCGGTGGGTCAGTGTGGCCAGCTGTGACCCCCCCCGGGAGGGCTTCCTGGAGAAGGTGGCCAGGGAGGTGGCAGGAGGGTGGCTGTCTGCCTCCTGTGGCCTGAGGGCCTCCCTCTGGATGCCAAGGCTGAACAGAGGGGCCTGGAGGGAAGGAAGTTTCTGGGTACCGGTCTGGGTGATTCAGGCTGAGGACGCCTTTTCTCACCACTGAAAACAGCAGCGCGGGAGCTGCCTGCTGCTAGAGGCATACGATGGGGCAGCCACCCGAAGCCGGCCGGGGATGGGTTAGGTGTGGCATTGATCGGATACCTCCGGACCCGCCCCTTTGGGCCTGGGCCTGCAGATGTCCCTCTGGGGGTCTGGCTTTTTTAAAAAATATATAAATTTATTTATTTATCTACAGCTGTGTTGGGTCTTTGTTGCTGTGCGCGGGCTTTCTCTAGTTGCGGCGAGCGGGGGCTACTCTTCGTTGCGGTGCGCGGGCTTCTCATTGCGGTGGCTTCTCTTGTTGCGGAGCACGGGCTCTAGACGCGTGGGCTTCAGTAGCTGTGGCTCGCGGGCTCTAGAGTGCAGGCTCAGTAGTCGTGGTGCACGGGCTTAGTTGCTCCACGGCATTAAGCATTAAAGAAAAGAGTGCATTGTCCAGAAGTAGATAATGTCTGTTTTAAAAACAGGGATAAAATAGAGAGGTAAATGCCTCCCTTCCTGGGATATCAATGCTAGTACTCCTTAGATGATAAGGCTCCCTTCCCAGGTGCTAAGGTCGTACTGACTTGCAGTGTACAGGCTGGTCTGGGTTTTTTTTTTTTTTTTTTTTTGCAGTATGTGGGCCTCTCACTGTTGTGGCCTCTCCCGTTGCAGAACACAGGCTCTGGACGCGCAGGCTCAGCGGCCATGGCTCACGGGCCTAGCCGCCCCGCGGTATGTGGGATATTCCCAGACCGGGGCACGAACCCGCGTCCCCTGCATCGGCAGGCGGACCCTCAACCACTGCACCACCAGGTCTGGCTTTTTAAAAAAACTCTGCTCCTCCTGTGTATTCGGTGATGTTGAGCTGAGAGGATAAACTCCCAGTGCCAGAGGCTGGGTCGGACAGTTCTGACCCTGTAGTGATGTGCTTGTCGAGTGGTTTCTGCCCTTTCGTGAGGACTGCAAATGGGTGACCCAGACAGACGGGAAGGGAGCAAACAGATCGGATAACTGGCAGATGAAGACAGAGATGAGACTGCATGTCCATATCATAGAGGACTTATCTGGGAAAAAAATGAAATCGGCCCCGAAGAAAACGGCGTGTCTGACCCACTGGGCTGGCTCTGAATTGCATATTTCTAGGTCACTCCTGCTTGCTGCCCGGTGGGAACCTGCTGCTTGCTTATCCCTGCAGATGTCCGGCCCTGCCTCCTCGCTGGACAGAGGCGAGCTGGCCCACCAGGCAGTCCTGGCTTAGCGCCCAGCAGGGCACGTCCCCTGCCTAGGCCCTGAGAGCTCGGGCACAGGGAGGAGCGGGCATGGGGGCTGGGCACACACATATTTCCTGGTTCGGTGCTGGCCAGGGCCCTGGAGCCCGGACCTTGGCCGTCAGAGCAGCGCGCCACCTCTTGCTGAAAGGCGGTCGTCGGTTCCTGAAAATCAGCTGTTCTGGGTGGAAACACTGGCTGGGATCCTGCTCCTTCTTATTTTACACGGGAAACGTTTTAATGCACTCTTTCTTCACCCCAGACCCCCAGTCAGTTTCCTAAAATGTGTGTGAAAGGCAGTGGTGTGCCAGCATCTAGGCTGCAGCCTGTCGTGTGGGCACATAAGAGCTTAAAGCGGCATCGCTTCCTGGTGACCAGGCCATCAGCGTGGTGGGCGATGGTTTGTTCATCATTCCATAAACTCTACCTCTGCATCCAGCAGCAAGTAACACAGCGGTGAGTAAACGCTGGGGAAGATTGCAAACGGAAGTTTACCACGAAAGCACGGCCTTTCCCGTGATGAACTGTTTTCCTCGAGGGGAGAGGGTGCAGGAAGGGAGGGGGCTGACTTGGCTGTTTCTTTACTGGTTGCTGCAAGCATGCCCTCGGTTCAGGACCCGATTCCTGGTACTTTGGGAGGGCGGGAGGGCGCGGCTGTGCCTTCTAGAACGGTCCGAGGTCATGTGGCGGGGGGATCCAAATTAAGCTGGGAGGCCGGGAGAGTTCAGTCTGGGGAGAGTTGAGGAGGGAGGTGAAGGGCAGAGCCTAGGACCACGGGGTGGGGCCTCCAGGTGTGCAGCCTGTCACCTGGCCAGGACCCAGAAACAGCTTTGCGAGTGGTTCCTGAGTTTGCACACCTGGCTGGTGGGTAGGAGTTTTATTTAAGGATTATCACTTGATTTTTATTTTTGGCTGTGGCTCGGCCTGTTGAATTGTGTGCCAAGAGGACTCTTGCTTGAGAGTTCTACTTTTACAGGTTTAAAAATAGCCTCAAAGCTGTGTTCCTTCCTCCTGGTGGCTTCCCTGGGGGCTGGGGTAGTGGGCTGGGCTATGGCCCTGCTGCCTGGGCATGGGTGGGCACGAGCCCAGGCGTCCCCTCTGTCTCCCTGAGCCAGTCAGGGTGGCCGTGGGCCGATAGGGGTGCACCTGGAATCGCTGGTCAGGTGCTGTCCCTGTCCTTTTCCTTGTAGACTTGGGGAGGCATGAAGGCTGGACCACGTGGGTGGGCCGGCCATCCTGGTGGGTGAGTGCTTCAAGAAACGCTTTGCCACAAGGAGCTGCTTTCCTGTGTTCGGGGCTCCACGCCTGTAACTCATTTTGCCTCTCCCTTTGAAAGCGCTGGTTTCTCAGCATGCTGGCTGGGGTCCCTGAAAGCTCCTATTAGAGTATGCTCAGGTTTGTTTGGACTCTGGGCTGCGTGAAGGGGGCATTTTGGGTACAGAACCAAGCTTTAGAAAGTCACGTTGGACACCTGTGTGAGGGTCCCTGTGGGCTCCCAGAGCAACCCGGGCCTCCCCCTTCTCCCTGTTACACTCTGCTGCCTGCCTGCTCTTGTGGGAGGGGGGTGGGGGCAGGCTGCGCCCCCCGCGGAGCTGGCTCTGGTTTCCCTTCGGGGCTGTGCACCTGGCTGCTGGGCTTTGCTCACGTGGGTGTCCTGCTGAGCTGGGGCCCAGTGAGGGAATTGATGAATTACTGTGCAGACGTCTGTCTCCCGGGCGTGCCCTCCAATCTTAGAAGGTTCGGGGGTTCTGAATCCTATCTTGGGCAGGTATTCTGGCTCCCCTGGCCTCCTGCAGGCTTCCTTCCCGTCCCTTGGCCGGCCCCGGCCATCTGCCGGGTCAGCAGATGCCACAGAGCCGGCAGCAGGTCTTGAAAAGGAGAGAATCATCAGGCTGGGAGCTGTGCCACGTGACCCAGGCGGACCCTGTGACAGCTGGTGCAGAGGCCCTTCCCGCCTTGCCGGGCTGTGGCTTCTACTCCTGGGACCCCTGCCTGTGACTTAGCTGCCGGCAGGTATGAAGCTACCTTTCCTGGCCCACCTGCGTGGCTGCAGAGGTGCAGAGAGGCTCAGGAGAGTGGCCCGAGAGTGGGCCTGTGTCAGGACGCGCTTGCTGAAGGTCACGGGCTCGTGGCAGGCGTGACGCCAGGACGCTCTGTGCTGGCACTGCTCACTGTGAGAGTTTGGCCAAGGCAGTGGAAGCGTCGTCAGTGGGGGCATTCGGGGCACAGCCAGAGGCGAGGAGCGGAGAGGTGGGAGGGAGGGGACCAGCCAGGACCCCCAGCGCTCCCCAGGGGCCACTTGACCTGCTAAAGGAGGACTCTTCTTACGGCCTGCGGGGTCTCTGGGGGCGGGAAGACCCTCTCTGGTCTTGGTGGAAAGAGGGGGGATGGTCCCCCCTCCCAGAGCCAGCTCAGCCTCCTTGGCCCAAGAGCATCGTCTCAGGGGGGGTGTGGTGGGCAGGGTCGTGGCTCCCCACAATGTCCTCGTCTTAACCCCCAGAGCCTGTGACTGTGTCACCTTACAGGGCCAGAGGGGCTTTGCAGACGTGGTTGAGTTAAGGACCTGAGATGCGGAGGTGGGCCTGGGTTAATCCAGGTGGACCCAGTGTCGTCACAAGGGTCGTCGTGAGAGGGCGGCGGGGGGGGGGGGGGGGACTTTCTCCTGGAGCCAGCCCTGCCCACACCTTGACTTGAGCCGCTCGAGGCCCATTTCAGACTCTGACCTCCAGAGCTGTGGGAGGGCACACTCTTCCGCCCTGTCTGTGGTCACTTATTACAGCAGCGGTAGGAAATCAACATGGTGGGGAGGCCCTGTGTGTGGGGGGGGGGGGGGGGGGTGGTGGACTTTCTCCTGGAGCCAGCCCTGCCCACACCTTGACTTGAGCCGCTCGAGGCCCATTTCAGACTCTGACCTCCAGAGCTGTGGGAGGGCACACTCTTCCGCCCTGTCTGTGGTCACTTATTACAGCAGCGGTAGGAAATCAACATGGTGGGGAGGCCCTGTGTGTGACATTGCACCCCTGCCCCCACCTGCAGGAGACCCTCCCGGCCCCCGAGTGACGGAGCAGGGGCACAAGGGGAGCCCTTTGCTGCCGCAGGTGGTATCCGGGGCCGGTGGCCAGAAGGCCAGGCCACTGCGGAAGAGGCCATGAGCTGGGCTCTGAGTGTGGAGGGCAGCCCGAGGAGAGCCCAAGGGGCCAGAGGCCAGCTGCCACGGGCCCTGTCGGCCCCTGGGGGACAGGGGTCCCGCTGGGGGGCTGCGCAAGATGAGGCCGCCTTCTGAGTGAGCAGCTCAGTGCTTTCTGCCTGGCGGGAAGTTGGCCTCCTGTTTCTTCTCTATCGGAGGGGACGAGGAAAATTGATTGCAGGGATTTGTATCGTCTCTGTCCTGTGCAAGGAGCCAGCTGTGCTCTGCACTGCAGTTGACCTAAATATGTCGCCGGAGGGAGCAGACCCATAATGTCCGCCGTCGTGGGGTCTAACCATCGTTGTAGGCGGAAGGAGAGTTGCGTGGCCTTGGGGGAGCCGTTCGCTCAGAGGAGGGCTTGTAGGAGAGAAATGATCAGAGTGCTGGGGCTTTTATTTATTTAGCTGTCTTTGTGCCCCCAGGAGAGGGGGCACCTGGGAGAGGCGGGAAGGCTTCTTACGTTTGCTGTGAATTGCGACGAGTGGATTTGCCAGGCTGTACCCAAGCGTCCTCGTCTGCGGGGCCGCGTCCCCTCACTGGCTTGGGGGGCGGCTTTGAGGAGTGAGGAGACCAGTACTGCGGGAGTTCCTGGGGGGGGGGAGCCCGCTGGTCTTGGCCCCACAGAGCGCCCCCCCCGGGAATGCCCAGGGGAGCAAGGGGCAGCTTGACGGGGGATGGTGCCTGTGGGAAGGGCAGGGCCGAGGGGGCTTTGTCAGGAGCCCAGGTTAAGAGGACGTGGCCCGAGGCCCCCTTGCCTCCAGGACTGGAGTCCCAGACACGCTTGCAAGCAGGCGAGGAGCATCCCTGGAGCTTGGGACGGGAGCTGTGTGTCCACACGTGTCCACAGCGGCCTGGCTGACCGTCTCCACGTGGGGGGAACCAGCTGCACTTGACCCCTCGCAGCTGAGTGGCGTGGGGAAGGGAGTTCGGGGGCGTTGAGAAAGAAAATGTGGTTACCTGCTGATGACGCTGTGCGTGAGGAGGCGTCTGGGGCTGCCTTGACCTGCGGGTTCACAGAGGTGACTGGAGTGTGTGCGGGTGATGGGGATCAGAGGAGCGGATGGGAAGGCACCCGGCACCCCGACCTTGGCTCCCGGGAGCGAGGCTGCGGTGGCGGGAAGCCCCTCACCTCTGTTTTCCCGCCGCGAAGCTCCCCAGCCTGCGAGTCCGCCCACGCCCGTCCTCGAGAGGCGGTGGGAGCCCTTGCACAGCCGGCCAAGCCCTGGGCGGCCCCCCCGGAGACACACTCTGACTACTGCGGAGGGCCGGCCGCCCGGAGCTCAGGGGGCAGGTGTCTGTGGGGGCTCCCCGGGAGCTTCACCCACTCCTCACCCGGTGAGCCTCGACTGAGCACCTGCTGTAAGCCAGGCCCTCCGTGGAGGCCTCCGAAGTGGGTCCCGCGGGAGGAGGCTAAGCAGTGCTCTGCGGGCACTCAGGAGGGCAGGGGGTCTCCACGTGGCTCCAGGGCCCAGGTTCTTCCACTGCTGGTGGGAGCACGTCCTCTCAGAAGGGGGCCCCAGGGCCCCGCCTGCGTTGGGACAGGAGACCCGCCTCCCGAGGGTCCAGGGTCCAGCAGGACGCTGCACCTGGGTGGCCCTGGGATCAGTTCACGCAGGCAAGGTGGCTGGGGCACCACCAGATGCCCACTCCGGGCAGGGTGTGGGTGCTCGGTCACGGCAGCGTCCCCACTTTGACAGAGCCTGGTGCGTTATACTTGCACAGCGAGTATTTGCTCGTGGAGTTGTGTGCAGGCAGTGGCTTCTCCGCACAAGTAGGCTGACTTGGTGCGGGGCGGAGTGGAGGTCCCCGCAGAGGCTGGGGCTCCTGAGCGGATTACGTGTCAGGGCTCTGGACCCCTGATCATCTGAGTGCCCCCCGCCACCTCCCAGCAGGTGCTCTGTGTGCAAGGACATGACAGGTGGGGACTCTGAATGCCCTTGAGTCCTCAGGGCCAGGGTCCGCGGGAACCCCAGTATGAGGCGGGGGGAGGCTGAGGCCTGAGGTTTGGGGCCCGCGTGCCTGGCGTGCAGGATGCAGACGTCCCTCAGATGCTGGTGGCCGGCCACTCACTCTTGGCCCTGTTTGCTGAATTCCCACCATGGCCCTCCCCTCCCACTGGTGTCCTCTCTGCCTGGTTCTCGACCAGCCTGGTGCGTGCGTCCTGCAGTTCACTTGCTGAGAACTTGCTGTGCTGTCCCCACCGCCCAGTGTCCATTCACCGCATCTGTCCTGGCTTCCCCTTGAGCCAGGCTGGGTCCTGGGCCGTCACAGACAGTGAATCAGACGGGGTCCTCTCTCTGGGGCCTGAGTTGGGGCATCCTGCAGCTGAATATGACTTAGGAATGTGGCGTGCTTACCAGGGGTCACGTTTGCAGAGCCCCTCCCTGTGGAGCTGTGTCACCTGAGGGAATTCCCTCCCAGCACCCTGGGGAGGACCCGTGTTGTCCCTGACAGGAAAAAGCAGGACCCACAAGAGAAGATGACAAAGGGCCACATAAGATGGGAGGGGAGGTCAGGGGGGGGTCTCTCTGGGGGAAAATGGCACTTGAGCCAGCACTGAGGTCGAGGGGCACCAGCACGTGCAAAGGTCCTGGGGTGGGGTCTGACTGTGGAGGCATTTGGGCACCTGAGAGAAGGCTCCTGTGGCTTGAACCCAAAGAGCAAAGGTCAGAGCAAGATCAGAGGGCGTTGAAGCGGGGCGTGGGGCGGGGCCTCGGGCTGGAAGGACTCCCTGTGTGGCCAGTTTGGGCAGGACGGTGTCAGGTTCTGACTTACACTTTAGAGGAGCCTCTGGCTCCTGTTTGGAGCCAGACTGGAGGGTGTGAGGAGAGCTGGGGTGCCGGTTAGGAAGCAGGGTGCGAGCCGAGATGAGAGCGGGTGGGTTTGGGGGTGCTTGGAGGAAGAACCCCGACACGTGAGGGTGAGGGCCCTGCGCATCCGCACCTGGCACAGGGCCCCTCTGCTGTAAATAAGCCAGACTGAGAGGGGTGGGGGCGTGGCCCTCTTGGGGCTGGGGGTCTGAGGCCGGGCTTCCCGCAGCCCTGGAGCAGGGAGGGGTCTCTGGTCGCGCTTCGCTCATTGTGGCCCCGGCTGGACTCTGCTTCTGAGTCGTAACTTGGAAATGTCCCCCAGGCCCTAGGCAGAGGCTGGCCCCTCCCCCTGGTCCCCCGCTTTGTGCAGCCCGTTTACAGAGTCTCTTCTGTGCCCCTGGGAGGCACCCAGTCCAGCGGGTTGGGAGGCTGTGGTCCTCAGGGAAACTAGGCGGCACAAGGGCCGTGCTGCGTCACCCCAGGACTGAAGGGGGGGTCTCTGGAGGAGACCGTGGCTAACAGGAGCCAGGTGGGATGGCTCCCTGTGGGCTTGGTGTGGTGTCCTCTCGGCCCCCTTGTCTGGAGGGTTTTCTCCCAGGGGGTGGGAGGGGCCACAGGGCCCTGAAGAATGCTGAGCCACATGCCCAGCTCAGGGCAGAGCCCAGCAGGAGGGGCAGCGCGGGAGGCCCCGAGGACTCCAAATATTTACCGAGCACGTGGATCCCGGCACTCAGCAAACCTAAATATCTGCCCCTTGTTAGGGGCAGAATCGGGCGCGTCCTGAGCTCTCCAGGTGGGAGGTGGGGCCGCCTCCCCTTCCTGCCCCCGCCCTGGACGCCCCCAAGAGGCAGAAGGGTCTCCCCACGGCTCTGCCTGCACGGGGCGGGGTGGCCGCCATGTAGACACAGCCGCTCTGCCAGCCCGTCTGTTTCTGGAACCTGGGGCTGTCATACTGACCTTGGCCTGAATTTCGGGGTCTTGCGCTCGGCCCTGTGTCCCCAGGTCTGGTGAGGTGGCCAGGACAGGAGAGGAACCGGCTGGGTCCCCCTGAGCCCCATCCTATCCAGAAAGCAGGTTCCAGGCCAGCGAGGGTCTCACTTGACCGGCAGCGAGGGCAGTGGATCCTGGCCTCCCCGGGCTCCAGTCCACACCCCCGATTTTGGTGAATTATTTGGTCACATTCTGAGGTCTCAGGAATG